TGTTTGAACATTTGTCAACTTCCAGTACACTTCATGTTAGCACAAACCCACCAGAATATCTTTAATGCTGTCATATTCCACACTTAATTCACAGGTAAAGATCTAAGTGTGAATTCGGCTATTATCCACTGCAGCTTCCAAGGCTATATTGAGAAGCCCTCATTCCTCAATTCAGCTCTGGTTTAAACAAATGTGTCTGTGTTTCCTTGTGTTTCCTAGGAGCCAACATCTTTCTTACCTCCTCTGGACTGATTAAACTAGGAGATTTTGGCTGCTCAGTGAAGTTGAAGAACAATACCCAGACAATGCCTGGAGAAGTGAACAGTACCTTGGGGACTGCAGGTAAGGAAGCTTGTGCTAGGCAGGTACTTGTCTAGTTACCATAAAAGAAGATACCTCTGCCAGAAGTCTGGAGTAAAACCATGTGTTTCAGGGAAACTTGATTTTACCTAAGCTAGTTTTATGCTTTACATCCAGAAGTCAAAACAATCAGTCAATGATACAATGTGAGAGTTAAAATTGTGTTTGTCTGTAACTACAGAGGTGCTGGAGCATGTGTTTTCTGGGGTTGTATTTTTCTCTGCAGCCTTACTGAAACAGTAGTCTTCACTAAACAGCTGCTTAATCGATTTTCAGAAAATGGCAGTAACTGAAAGCATGTAACAGTATTTTCAATATCACTTTTCAAACTGAGAGTTGTGCTGAAAACATGTCAAAGACCGAGAAACCAGCAAATGGCAACTTAGCAAGGAAACCTGAGTAGTAATTCACTGAGTATTTTAAAAAGCATTTGTTTTACCCAGTCAGTCACTTGACGTATACTGTTCCTTCTGCTGTATGAACTGATGGCATCATATATGTTGTTTCCAAGCATACATGGCTCCAGAAGTAATCACCAGAGCTAAAGGAGAAGGGCATGGACGTGCAGCAGACATCTGGAGCCTGGGCTGTGTTGTCATAGAGATGGTCACGGGCAAGGTAGGGATGTTTCATGTGCTTATGAAATGCAAACTGTTCTCAGCAGTTTTTCTGCAAATTCTGGTCCTGCTCTCAGCAATTTGTCACACTTAAGTCTACAAAGACTGGGATGGTTTTTCATGTCCTAGAGCACAGAAATACATGCTCTAGTGGGTAGGAAGTTACTCACTAAAGCTTGCGCTTAGCAATGCTGTTACCTGTTGCAGAGGCCTTGGCATGAATATGAGCACAACTTCCAGATCATGTATAAAGTGGGGATGGGTCATAAACCTCCTATTCCTGACAAAGTGAGCCCAGAAGGAAAAGACTTCCTTTGCCACTGCCTGGAAAGTGACCCAAAGATGAGGTGGACGGCCAGCCAGCTTCTCGATCATCCTTTTGTCAAGGTTTGTCTGATGACTTTGGCTACAAAACCTGCAGACGGGAATGGGGAACAGCTTTTGTTCTCAGTGATGCCACAGGGGCCGGTACCATGGTGAGGGGCTGGCAGCAGGTTGATGCTGTCCAGGAAACATGGGTTGGCAACTTTCCAGAAACACCTTTTTTTTCAGCAAGCATGTGACTATAGGATGTGGTATGCACCATGCAATAAACTTTCACTGCTGTTTTGAAATGTGTTATCTTTATGTTAAAAAGACAAGTCAGGCTCCAACTCAGTGGTAGCTAACTGAATCTGAAGGGCTCTGCAGCAAAAACTTGAAGTACAAATTCACAGCCCCCTCCATAAAGAGTGAAACCTGCACATGCTTGAGAACTCTCCCATTCTGCTGTGCAAAGGGCTGCTTTTAAGTTCATACTTAAGGTTAAGGTTATACTGAATGTCTTCTCTGGCAGCTGCTGTAAGTCTGCAGTTCTTGCATGAACTGTGGTGTGATGCTTTCCTTAAGAAAAGGCAAACATTCACAGCTCCAAATTGAGCTGCATTAGTACCTTCTTTTTTGAAGGAGTGCAGTAGGTTATTGAATTCTAATTTTCCAGCACAAAGTTGATCACTTAGGTGTTCTGGTTCAGTAGCAGTGTATTTGGGATCATCACCCATCTCTCAGCAGTGCAGCTGTAGCAGATCCCATCCATCAGAGGGTGGACACTGCTTTAAGCACCTAAAGGATGCATGGTGACAGTGGGAATATCAGTACTCCCATATAAACACTCATAATGCATTACTGTGGAACAAGGGAGAGAAAAAACTTCAAAGATGTGAAGGTGCTAAAGAAATTGATCCATTATCATCTTGCTGCAGGAGGGACATGGCTGAAGTAATTGCCTTTTGCTACCTTCACAGGTTTGCACAGACGAAGAATGAAGTTATTCAATCTCTGGCCTTTTCTTTTCTGACAAGATTTGGATCACTACTGTATGTAATATTTACATAAAGACTGTGTTGACGAACAGTATAAAAGTTGACCTTAACGAAGACTGCACAAGTGACAGTGTCACTTCCTCTGCTGCTCCTGTACATTTTACTCGGCACATGTTGCTCACGTGACGTGTCCGCAAGTTGGAAGAAGCTGCATGTTTCAGTGAAAGTGCCATTACTACTGTATATGGACCATACCCTATTTGTTCCTTCTCCTGTTTCTCATTTGATTGAGAAAACTTGTATTGTTAATATGTAGTATTTTTGAACTCCCTAGGTTCAGAAAAATGCTATAGTGTTATCAGGCGTTATGGACCTTGTTTTTTAATCTGTTTGAGTGCACTGACTGTGAACTTTTACTGGGGTTTTTGTTTATTTGTTTTTGGCAAGCTTCGGATTTGTTATGCACAAGGCTGATTAACGAAATTAAAAAAAAAAAAAAGTTTTTTCTCAATAAATGGTTTATTTTAGGAGATATTGGTGAAGGGTTTTTCTTCCAGAAATAAATGTAGGCCTATGTCACATTTTAAACTTTTTTGCAACATTTGGACTGCTAAGCTGACCTAACTGGAATAAGCTGCTCTAATACTGCAATAGTCAGTGTTTTGTCAAGTTTTAAGGTAAGTAGTGTGAGATCCTTCTTACACAAGAGATAAGAGAAGTAAGGTTCCCCCTTTCATCGCCTTCTGAGAGAAGAGGGTGATGGGAAATTCCTGACACTGCCTTTCATCTCAGGGATAATTTCCTTTTTGAATGCATGCAGTGTGAACAGGGAGTCCTCTGCATGGCATTTTTGTCTTCTAGGAGAGAACTGTACAAGCTGATTCTTGTGCTCTGTTTGGCAAAACTAAGAACCTAGCGTTAACCTTTCGAAAACTGACTTCTGATCCATGGCTTTCATTTCCCCATCACACCTCAGTTATCATCAGTCTCAGAAAAGGGAGATCAGAAGTGGTTAACAACTGGAAGCCTGCAATGCATGATCTAATTGATTTTTTTTAACTTACTATTACAAACAGGTGACTTAAAACTGTTACTTGTAAACATTAGTGCAAGTGTACATATTCCTGTTACAGCCTTAGACTTAAAATAGGTAACTTAAAATTTGCTTTTAATATTTGGTTTTATAATCTAGTGTCTTGTCTCATCTTGATCCACAAATCCTTGATTAGTCACAGGTATGGCGTGAGCTGTCAAAAAGTACCACAAAATCTGACATTTCTATCTAGAATAGTATGAGCCTTGCTGTGCATATCAGCTGTGCATGTATTTAGGCTCTCAAAAATGTAATGCTGAATTTAAACAAAGACTTTACCGTCTTTTCAGTGCTCTGTTTTCAGTTGTGTGATAGGAGAGGAAGTATGTTGTCATCCTCAGTAAAGGACAATGAAAGAAGTAAAAATGTACCCCCAGCTTGCTTTGTGCTTCACTTTGCAGTGTAACAGAAGTATTTGAGTGAGTTATGTCCTCGCTTGCCTTATTTCAGGTGCCCTTGAACACAAACAGGAACTGTGGACAGCTTTTAGAAGTGAGGATAGAGGTGACAAACTGTTACCAGTTTGTTCTTGCCAACCAAAAGAAAACTCATTCACTGCATATTAGCTTTTTATACTTTTATTTTTGTATAAACAAACATTAAGACTAATTTTGTTAAGGCAGTTGTAGAACATACAGGTGCTTGTGGGGATGAGGGGCAAACACTTCTATTTCTTTTAATACAGTGAACTGGATAAGTTTAACTTTGGCAAGGACCATTAAGCTTTCTCTGTTTGTCAGTGAGTGCTGGAAGGGCCTCAGTGGTGTGCCAGGACTTGCATGAGTGCTTAGGAGGAGGGATCCAGGAGTGGCATGTTTGGCCCTCAGCCTGGTCTAAGGCTTGGTCCCAGGGAAACGGGTATGAAATCATCTCTGCACTCTTTCAGAAGTGTTTGCTTGTTTGGTGCTTTCCTCTGGGAGAAGGGCACTGCACCCAGTTGGAGGGGAAAGGACTAAAATTCATAAGGAATGCCAAATGTCTTTGTTACGCTATGTTAAATCTGTGGCTCTTAGGAGGCAGAACAGCCTCTGTCACTCCAGGAGTATGATTTGCTGCTCAGAAATACTCACCTACCACCCCAAGAAAAGGTCCCTGGGTCTGCCTGCTGATGTTTACAGTAAAATGTTACCCTGCAGAACTTTTCCTTTCTCACCTCCCACCCATTTTCCAGCTCTTGTGTACAGTGTCTTCAGGTTTGGCTTGTTGATGTGCCTGATCACTACTACAGGATGCAATACTCAGTTTTTCACTGTTAAGAGTGTTACAGAAAACACAGTGCAGGGCATGTTCTTTATTAAAAAGCATTGTAAATATTACAGTATTTTCTACTCGGGCTCTAAAAACTACATCTGAGCCCATGAACCCCCTCTGTTCATGACACTGAACGACCTGAGAGCATAAGGAATGCATGTGTACACAAAATGTGTGAGGCAAAAAGACCCCCAAAGCAGTCTCTCACACTTCACGTGGCCTATTCCTTCCTTCATGTTGTAAATTTTACTGCCTCCACTATCCCTAAACTTCACTTATTGCTCCATGCTAAAAGCACTACTTAACCTGCTTTTTAGGTGCTGCATATTAAAAAGGTGAGGTTTTAGATTATCTGATGTACTGAACAGCAAATACATATTTCATGGAATGATTCATAGTGTTGTATTAGTTTCTTCTGGTCTCAGTTCTATTATATGAAAAGAGTAATGTTTTTATACCAGCTGCTAGAGTAAGACTACTCACTTTCTTCACTAGAGACTACCATGGTTTAGTCCTGTGCTGAGTGAAAATGGACTGTCTTTGAAAGTGTCAATCACAACCTCCACTGCTCAGTGGTTAGGATCTGTACTGTAAAAAATTGGGATTTTTTTTCCAATCATACTTGCTGTTAGGTAATGTTCCCCCCTTTCCTTTTTTTTTCCCCTACTTTAAACAAGTTATTTCTAGTAACTTGCAGATCCTTAACTCTGGAAGTTTAAAAACAGGAGGCGGCTGTCCTGAAATCAGTACCAGGGATATCAGAGCAACCCACTTTCCTCAGAGCTTAAGTCTAGTTTTATTTAATTCAGAAGAGTGTGAAATCAAGACAGATATAAAAATATCAGCCATACCCACTGTCCTAGGTCTCTCTCCTAGTTCTCCCTCCTCTCCAGAAGAAAATAATTTACTATTACTTCAGGCTGACTGTAATGAGGCACCAAGTAAACTAATTTATCAGAAAAGGCAGACAAGCAGATTAATTAGGATCACAACAGTATGGGTGTGGGGCATACATTTTAATGCACACTTTGCATTATTTCACTACACCATGCCCAGTTATTTTCTTTCCACAACTGTTAGAAGGGCATGGAATTTTAAGTAGCATTTAAAGCCAAAAGGAATTTTACTACCTCCGTTTTTCCAAACTAAAAGTGACATTTACTCTGAAGAACTGCAGGTTTGAGCTATCCCTCGGATGTATGGCCTGGGGAAGGAGAGGGCAGTGGGTAACTTAGCTCTGCTCAGGCCACAGGGCCAAATTCTGATCCAGGTTATGCTGCTGCCAGCTCCAGGGGGTCTGGCTGAAGTTTTGAAGGGCCATGTAGTGCACACGGTGTGAATAAGTTCTAGATGTACAAAAACTCTACAGTAGTTCTGCCAGTTCAGCAGAGCTACTTCAGTCCAATACTGCTATAACCAAGCACAGCATCCTGCTGTGCTGTATTTAAACACTGACAGATTATGGTTGTTAAACTGTGTGATCTACACAACTATCAAGTTTAATCATCTTGTACCAGTCTTCTGACATTAAACCCTGCACCTCTGGTTAGTTTCCAGTAGAGTCTCTTCACACAAGCACGCTGGAATTTTTTTTCTTCAGAAACTTAAGACACTTCATAGGAAAACAAACCAACCACACATGTGCAAACCTGTTGTTGAGAGTATATGAAGGAGTGCATCTTTCCAGCACGTCATCCAGCCCAAATCCCAGAGAAAAACAACAGGAGCACAAATTCAGATATGCCTGGCAATTACTCATCCTCTGATCTCACTTGAAAGACCATGATACGCACTTAAGAGTTTTCAGCAGTTGCATTTGTTCCCTTTGGATTGAAGCAGTCTCTGAAGGTGCTACTTTTGTTTCTTGTTGCCTTTTTGTTGCTTGTTGTCATTGTTGCCATAGGTGGAGCCCTTGTTAATTTCTGTAACCCCGATCATCCATCTGACACCAACAGAAGCTGCAAAACAAACACAGTTAAGGCTGCGTGAGGCAAGGCATGTGCTGGTGTAGCATCACGTAAGAGACCTTGGATGAAACCTGCATTTGATGCTCCCACACCTCCACATCAACTTATTTGCCTATAGCATCTCATGAAGGAAGAGCCTGAGGCTGGACACGTCCCCTCCCAGCAGCAGGGAAGAGGCTACAAGGAACCAGGATGGGTGTGAGAGGCACAGGCATGCACAGTCCTGTGTGCCAGGGGAAGGGAATCCTGCTGGCTTTCAACAGCCCCTCGTCTGGAAGAGTGCAAGCAAGCACAAGGGAACTTCAGATCTTGATAAATGAAAAAAAATGTAAGTTGTGGTATTTGTTAATGACAGCCCATGAAAAAGTCTATTGCAGGTTTATTTGAAAGATTTTTATAAATGATTCACTGGTAATAATTTACCATATGCAAGGATTATTTTATTTGTTTATGTGTACCACTTAAAGTGACTTAAGTTGAATGTAATTTAACCTAAACTCCTTCCCTCACACTTTGGATTTCTTTGTAAAGGGGCTCCATTGCCCAAAATTTATTATTCCTCAAGCTTTGCTCAGCTACTTTACACATTCACAACTGCCATGCTTCTTTCAGGCCTAAACCTATTAGGAAGTCACAAACATCTTCCTTCTGCTCAGAATGCTTTCCAAAAAAAGGAACCCAACCCAAACAAAAAAAACCAAGAAAGCCACAAACCTCCCCTAAGCCTCCAAATCCCAATGTCTTTCTGACTGATGGTGAGAAGGCCCAGTAAGGTGAGGTCTCATTCCCAGTAAATATCTCATTCCCATCACTCTTTACTTCTCTGGACAAATTCTCACAAGCTAAAGGACTCTTTATGGCTAAGTCAGTGCCCGAGATCACCAAGAGAATCCGAGGTTTCATCCCACTACCTGGCACCCCTTGTGGACTGGAAGGGGAGGGGGCTGTCAGCTGGCAAACAGTGCTGCCCTGTGCTTTACCAGCTGCTACTTGGCACAACAGCATCAGCCACAAAGAGCCATCACTACAGACTCCTGCTGTGTAAAAAAATTTACATTTTTTAGAGTGCAAGTGGTAACTGGATACCAGGGGTGAGTCACATGTGATGTGACAGTATGGCTGGACACTGGGAAGCTGGTCTGCCCATGGGGCTGCCCTCAGGTCTTGTGGATGCCAGGAAAGCAGGGCCCTCTCACAAGCACAGCTGTGCAGTAAACAGTCCAGAAAGGGAGCTGACTCTGAGGGCACTCACTGTCACTTACACTCCACTGTCAGCCCATGAATAGAAACACACACCACCGAGACAGACAAAGGGCTTCACTCAGAGACATGAGAAAGAAAGAAAACCATCTCTGACATTTAACTGGCCATGAGCTGAGGAACACAAGAGAAAGATCCAACATCTAGCCTGCAGTCTGGGATCATAACATCATAGTAAGCATGAAATCATTAAGATTTAACCACAAGGGATAGAAACAGCATCTGGAGATGGACACAGAGCAAAAATAAGAGCAGCTGTTACAGCAGACACACATCGTACTGGGGATTTCATCCAGTTCCAAGAATGCCTGGACACAAAAAAACTAGTTAGCAGTTCAGATGTCTTTTTTTCATCCTTTGCTCCCTGGCAGAAGCTGCCACTGCTTTCTGTCCCCATTTCACCCTGTAGCCCTCAGCACCCTGGGGAGGGTGGGGTGCAAAGAGAAGAGGACTACTCATGTTTGCCAACCATGTAGAAGCCAAGTGGGGTAAGGCTGGGCTGCCTCACTGTTCTGTCCCTGCACTGCCCCTCGCCACAGCTCTCCTGGAGCCCCCGTGCAGACCTGAGCAATACCATGCCATTTAAGGATTTACTCACTTCTTGTTTTACATACAACTGTAGTAAGGAGAACTTCAGGGTTTTTACTTCAAGAAAGAGGAGAAAGGGAGATCAAACAGAAACTAATCAGCAGTGCCTAACTTTATAGCTGTGAGGGCTTAAGACCAGCCTGAGAAGTGCATGAGAGAAGCTGTTGGCTGAAGCATCCCTGCACTACTCCACAGCAAACTGAAGTAACTGAGCTCCTGCATCTTCCAAAAGATTCAGGAGGTTGCTGAGGACCTGCTTTGCCTGCTGGAGTGTCAGGGACTCAAGGAGGGCTGAGCTGATACAACCAAGAGAACCAATAGTGTAATCTCTTTCTTGGAACACATTTTAACTCCAAGAAAACTACCACCTCCAAATGTAGTATCTCATCCCTTAGTAAAACCTTACCTCAAAGGACTTCCACCTTTTCTCTTACAGCTCAGGATTTTTTCTCATCTGTTACCCTGCCTTTACACAAAGCAAGTGCTATAAGCAGCACAGCAGGCAGAGGCGTAAAAATTTCCCACACAGAGTTTGCACTTGAGTTACATAGGTTATGCCCTGAAATTAAGATTTGTACAACTAAAGACCGTATGAATGGCAGACATTTCCATTGAGGGCCTATCCTACATACTATGAAGGAGAAGAAACAAGCAACAGACTCACACAAACAAAGCAAACAACCCACCCCAAGTCCCCCTATTTCTAGGCACCAGGCTGAAAGGCCAAACTATCTGGCAGCTCCACCAAAAGGCAGAATCAACACAGGCACGATCCTGCACATGGTTTGTATCCTGTTGTAAAACTTAAAACAGCCCTGCTGGCTTGTCCCCTCTTCACCTTCCATTCATCTCAGCCTGCAGGCATCGCCAGCCTTGCTGCCCAGGTCACACTCTGCTCCTGGACACTGTGACGTCCCCAGTGACATCTGCAGTGTGATCCCACACACACAGTGCACAGCACACACACAGCAGCTCCCTCGGAATCCGAGCTGGCTCATCACTACTTGCACTCAGTTCAGATGAAACACTTCTCTCTCCTAGAACTGATAACGTAGCTGCTGGCCCTGTGCCATCAGCCCAGATGCCACCGTGTTTTTAGCATTAAACATGAAATAGCTGCTGCTCCCTTTAAAAACCCTCTCATCTTTTGCACACATTCCCCTTTTAAATGCTGTTGACAGCTTTACAATAAATTACTTCTAGAGCACAAAGGGTGGGTGTCCTCCTTAACACAAGTTATCAAAACATGAAAGACAACCCAACATTTGGTTCTTTGAAGCCAAATGAGACTGGGTAAGGAGGAGGAAGAAAAAGAAGCTGCTGTCAAATACAGATACTGACATTTGACAGACATGCTTGCTGCTTCAGCACCAAAATATCAGCACCAAGTTTTAGATAGCTGTTGTGAGCTAAGTACCTAAACCTCCTGCCATGTGTCCTGTGAAACTAAAGCTGGTTTTCAAAACGCTTTTGTCCCTCAAACTATTTGAGCGTTTATCCTCTAAAGCAGTGACTGCCTTGCACTAGTATTCAAGTAGTGTCACAAAGGGTTCCCAGTCCCAGATGAGCAGTAAGGTGCGAGCACAGTGTGATGACTGTTGGGAGTATAAGGGGACAGCATCCAAAGTATAAATAAATGTCATTTATTTAGGGCTGAAGGAGTTTGAGCTGAACCAAGCAGAGCTGTACATACACTGGTTATTCATCCTTAGATCTCAGAGTCAGGGTCTGAGGGATTACTGTCCTACCACTCCAGCTCGAGTGGAGCATTTTTTTAACAGCTCTTTCCACCTGAACAGCCAGTTACTTACGAGCCAGTCAGTGTTTTACTGGAGAGCACAATAAGCAGAAATATTCAAAGGACAAATGACAATCTAGAAACAATGCAGAGGGTACCAGGTAAAAGGACCTGCTAGTTGCTCTGTTCTATCACAAAAGGTTTATTTTGTGCCTATCTGCACCTGTATCAGGTACTGAAACCTACCCTTAAAATCAGCAATCTACTACAATGGGCTACTAGGGACTGCAGTAAAGTTCCTGATTCTGGAATATCAGGTGAGCTGTCAAAGTGCCAAACTCTTGGAAAAAACCAAACCACTACCCTTCAGTGTGCTTCAGTTACAAACAGCGAGAAAAGGCCTCCTAGGAGCAATGTGAAAAGCTGATTTTGTCATCTGATAAATCCCTCCAGTCTGCAGAAAAATCTTCCTCTTACACTGTTAAGCCACTAGGTACCAATTACCACTCCCCACTGTAAAGACAGCAAACACAGTCCTCCCTTTGCTGCCACCAAGAGCCACAACCTCCAAGCTGTGTTTGTGTCCATGCTCCACTGTGTCCCAGCCACTGCAGGAGTCACTTTGGAGCCCTTGCCTAAAGCTGGAGACAAACTGCAGAATAAAATACTGCTTGCCTCTCTGTCAATAGATGGCTGCACCACATCCAGAACGTTTGTGACAGAGATCCCCCTTAGGATACAGGACACAGTTAGGGGAGAATGGCCTTGCTACAGAAACTCAGCTGTTGGCTATGAAAGCCACTATGACAACTTGGGATGAGGTTTTTTCCTGCTTCCACAGAAAGAGACCAATTACTCCCCACCAGCAATAACAGGTTTCAAAGGAATACTGTAAAACAGAAACAGACCTTAACATGCTAAGGTAACTGTGGTTTTTTTAGCACATAATGACACATCCAGTTTTAAGTGACCAGGATAAACCAGCTCTGTGTTTTGTTTGGTTTGACTAATGGCTGAGCTTTCCTCCACTCCCATGGATTATCTTCCCTCCACAGCTTCACAGTGGCTATCTGCTCATAAGTGACATCATCTTTCTCATTCCCTGCTCATCAGCAAGAGGTGCCTGAGTGTGGTCAGGCAGCAGCCTCTACCAAGGGTCATCCACTGCAGGGCAAATCCCAGGCAATTGCAGGCACTCCGGGATTGGTCACAGCACACATGCAATGAGAACTGGGCTGCTGCTGAGCACAGAGGTGCTGCAGAGCCAGCAGAGGGCTGCAAGCTGCACCAGCCCATACACCCTCAAGGTGTTCTGTGCTGGGCTTTAGCAGCCTGGGAGCTCACACCTAATGCTGCTGCTCATTCTGGCAGCAGGCTGCTGCTCTAGACTTCTAACAGCTCCAGTATTACAGATAAATCCTTTGGATTATCACTGCATTCAAGAGATGACTCAGAGCAGCCTGCTTATTAACCTTTCCTTGTGGCTAGAAGCAGAGGCAAGATAAATGGGGAGTAAGACAGCAAGAAAAGGAGAAAAAATGAAAAGAAAGTAGTTCTTGTTGTCTATTCTTGGTAGCATCATAGCTTTTTTTTTCCGTTACAGGTTCTTTCTTTCAATTCTTGATAAAGAAAGGACATGACCTAGGTTACTAATGGCAAGATTTTATTAGGCTTAGGGTGCAGGGTGAGGGGTGTAGTGTCATTCAGCTAAATTATAAAAGGCTAAATCCAAAACCATCACAAATGCTGTAATGCCAAGCAGTAAAGCAGTCGGCCCTGAGGTTAAACTCCAGACACCCTGAATGGTGTGAGGCTCCCTGGGGAGTGTACACAAGGCATGGAGCACTTTGAAATGGCACCCAACCCACCAATCTGCTGAGTGGAGAAACTGCATGAAGAGGAAAATGCTGAAGGAAAGATGAGAACTTCAAACAATTTTGCAGTAGCTAGGCTTCAGTGCACCATTAGGCCATAGTTCCACAATCCAGCACCAAATAGACTATGCCAGCATTTCTTCCAAAGGCAGAATAAGTGTCCTCTTGAACAAACTGCCAGGCAGCAGCATTTGCAATGGTGTCGCACCTCGTCCCACCCACTGCCATTTGCTCACTTTGCACAGGAGCACAGGGGAGGCTGATCCAACATTCTCTGCCAGTGACAGGGATTGGAATCCATTGCCTCCCATTCCTAGCACATCCCAACCACAGTGCTTACTTCACACTCCCATCCTCTTCACCAGTCAGCGAAGGGGAAGGGGGCACTGCTTGTGACTTCCAACAAGTGAGATGGGTGGGAAAAGAGGCTTTTAAGTTGTAGTTGCTGCTCCAAGGAATTCTTACACATTTTACATAAAGCATTTTCAGGGTGACAAGCACCAACAATTTCTCCAGATGAAGACAAGAGCTCAAGATTCCCTTCTTTTTTCCTCTACCCTGCTCACCTAATGTACCAATTATCATGCTGGACCTTATCCTCGTTCTCCTTCCTCTGGCTCAAAGCACCATGAAGGAAATTTCCTGCCTGCACACACACACAAAAAATACACAACTTGTCCCTTCTCCAGTTACCTCTATAGGAAGCATCAACAGGAGCCTAATGCAGCATTGGTGCATTTTTAGTGAGCAATTCCTGAAAGAGAATACTGTGTGCCTACCACATCAAACTCTTCACAGATGGCTAAAAGGATGTTAGTTGATCAATCTAGCTCAAGACTCAGACTTCTGAGAATTCCAAAGAAGAAATGTTATGTGCTAGGAACAATTTCCTGGGTAGAGAGCAAAGATCCACTTCTGAGACAACAAAATGCTCCACATTTTCCTATTTCCTCTGTGTTGCTATTCTGGACATGGCTTTTTAAGTCAGCTCTGTATCCAAGTTCTCTCAGAGCCAGGAAGACTGTGAAGTTCTGTTTCTTTTTCCAAGGTTGTTTGTAATATACACAGATGTAAAGGTGATGAAGTCATAAATACCTGTGATGGTCAGTGCAGTCACTGAAACTTTTTACTTTAAGAATGTATGGCTTATTCTGGAAGGGAACTTATTCTTCAAACCAGCACTCAATCACAGACACTCAGATAGGATGCAATTTGCTAAACTGCCCTGGTTCCTGCTTCCGTGAAGAACACCAAATAAATCTCCCTCCCTTTCTTTGGGCCAGCTCCTTGTTCTGTGTCCCTTCCTCCTCTTAAGTATCATATTAGTTGAAATACAAACCAAGGCAGCTCAGAACTGCCACAGGAAGTGTAGGAATCACCTGTGACAGTCCATGCCCTGTGCTACATAAATCAGAGTAGATGGCCACAACAGGCTGTGCTTAATCACGAGTTCATGGATTACCGGTGCATGACACATCAGACTATGACTGAAATACATTCTCAAAGGAATAAATTATCCTTGTGCTGCTCTTCTAAGCACCTAACACAGCAACACACAACATAAGAAAAGAAAGCCTTTTTTAGGCAACCCACTGAGAAGTCACTGTTTGAATTCTACAGAAACAAAATTTTGTATGAAGCTCTTACAAAAAACAGTACAATTATAAAAAAGTAAACAAAAAAGAATCTTTTTAACCCTAGTCCAGGCTAGAGTGGACATATTAGATGGGTTGTTTCATCATGGGTTGAATTCAAAATTCATCTTTATATTTAGCAAATCTCAGTAAATCCTACTGGACAGTTACTTGTAAGTAATCTTTTTGTATCAGAAAACTTACCTATTATAATGACAAATGCAAAACTAGCCAGTGTCAGTGATGATCCACTGTTGATCATGTTGATGAGCAGCTTGAACAAAGGATATAGCAGCAATAAGGCCCAGAAAAGCCAGTTCAAAAGTGTCCATGGTCGACGGGGTGGTACTATAGGGACGGCTGGGTAGGTTCCTGTGCGGTAATATTCCTCCTGGAATGCATCCTAGTAGAACAGAGGAGGGCAACAATTACATCCCCATCTGCCAACAAAACCAGCCATTCCTGGCTTTGATGTTCCTCCTTCTGGAGGCTTGTAACTACAGGGGAAGATCAAAGACCAGCTGATGGCTGGAAAGCTTGTATTTTGAAGTCAATTAATATAGAGTCAAAAAAAAAAAAAAAAACCCAAGAAAAAAAAGAAAGGGGGAGCATACACTGATGTGTGAATACTTTCTTTCTCCTACACACAGCAGCCTGAAAAATGCCGTACCTGGAGAGTATAGCAGCCTAGGAAAACAGGAGGGATGATGGGATGTACACTCCTGCAGCAATGCAGACACCACTGCTGAACCTCCTGCAAGAGCCACAGCCACTGCCCAAGCACTGCAGGTAAGCCAGGAAAGTGTCTGGGCTCCATACTCAGCAGCATTCTCTGCTCTCTCTTGTTTTCTCCAACTGCTGCTCTCAAACAGCACCATAAACCTGCCAGAAAAGGCGACCAGGCACCATTTGGTCCCACACTCTGAAGCACCATCCCCTCCTGTCTTTGTCCCATGGACATAGTCTTGTTCACCTTGCTCCCATGACACTTGTGGAAGTTTGGGTGCTGAACCTCCCTACAGGCAGTTTAGTGTGTAAACAGTACAAAATCTCTCACTGGCTTTTAGCAAATGACTCGACCTTTAGGTATAATACAAGGAGGATAATGAGGTGGGGTGGGGGTTGGTTTTTCTGTTTTGTAGCATCTGTTTTTTAAAGCACAGGAGACTTTGAATTCAGTACCTGCCTCTATAGGCCACATGGGTGAATAGCATTGCCTTTACTCATCTCATCAACCCAAGATATCAAAAGTGGGGGAAAAAACTCCCTTCGTCCTTGTTCAAAAGCAAAGGTTATTAATCTGTTATCTATTTATCTGTGTTATCACAAAAAAATGGTTCATTAATGAAGTCAGCATTAGACTGACATAAAAAACTGTGAGGTCAGACTTTCGGGTGCTTTTAGGCATGCAACTTGTCAGGTTGTTTTTTTTCAATGAGCTAAGCAGCTAATAGTTGCTACAAAGTTATTTATTGCAGAAGCACATTAGTTTTAAAGGCAAAAGCAAAGCAAAGCAAAGCAATGACAAAAGGCAATGGCAAAACACCCCAGCTCTCCCCAATGCATATTTTTATATAGAAACTTTTCAACAAGTTGAGAGACAAACTTAGACTACTACTTCTTAACTTATTAGAATATTAGTTTCTTAGCACGCTAGGCTATGCATAAACTACAAACATGGCTTATCTTGTTCTAACTGAAAAATCTAAGCAATATTCTTAACTATAACTTTATTCAATTCTTGCACTTTGATCTCTCTCTGAAAAATTCAGAGAGACTCTTGACTTACTAACTCCAACAAAAAAAACCTTAATTTAATCAGAATGAAGTATGATATTTCTTTAAAGAAAGGATTTTTGGTTTCTAAAAATTCTAGGAAAGCCAAGACTAATCAACCAAAAGACTATTTTTTCTACTATGCTATGATTTTACACTTACACTCCAGCTGACACAAACAATTCTTTACTTACTTGATAGCAACTTGAGCAATAACAAGCTGTTACCACTATCTATTTCAAAGTGAACATTCAGCTTTTAAGGGATTATGCAGGAATTAAATTACTGTACTCTTTTTATTGAGATTAGAAATATCCTAAGTGTTTGACTCATGTGAGCTGGATTGTAGTGGGATCACTGTGGCCAGTTACTGAGCCATCTTCAACAGATTTCAACAGAGTGTATCAAGTTTTCTTCACAGTGCAGTGAAGGCTGCTTTACAACACAGAGCTACTCATCATCACTAAACTGAATTTATTACATACAATTAGGTTTCCAAATATTGGTATTACCCAGGAAAGTGAAGAATTCCCGACTATTGCTGGCATTGCCATTAGAGGGCCTGCTACTACAGAGAGCAGGACACTTGCTTGAAACAAGTGCAGCAGGGTTTTCTCTGTCGGCTCTGCATGGCATCAGGGGCAGCCAAACCATGACCACACCTCACTGAGAGACTTAAGACAGATGGAAAACAAATACAAGAGGCAAAACAATGTCAAGGCCAACAGCTCTGCCACGTTTCCCACTCTTGTGGGGAACAGCTCTTCAGTTAGGATTCCTTACCCTTAAATACGTTCATTCACTTGCAAAAGGCATTTATGAGTTCATCTGTCTTGAAAGGTTTTGCAAGGGTGCCTGTGATACCCAGCAACAAGTCAGGCTTTAAACAGACGACACACCTCACCATTTCCCAAAATCACTTTATTCACATTAGGTTCCTTTCATTCCTCTGCCTACAGAGCTTCTTTTCAGTCTGTAATAAATTCCATCCACGCAGGTATCACATTCCGACACGGAAACACACTCCCTCTCTATTGCCCCCACTGAATTTAAGGCACTACAGACAGTGAGGGGGAGGGGTAATGCAGTGAAGAGAAATCAGGGAACATCCATTTCCTTGTGAGAGGCTAACTGGATTCCTCCTCCCCATTCCCACCAGGAGGTCTGACAGCAGAGGTATGCTGTGGCTCCTTCGTGAGGAAGCCCACAAAGAAGGAATATCCAAAAATATATCCTTTGTTCCCAAACACTGGAGTTCTGTACACTTCTCTTCAGTTAGGCTTTACTGATTCCCTAGGACATTCCTGTATATATTTTCAGGCCCCGTTTTCCAAGCTTCTCTTACAAGCAAGAATTAAAAAACTTGATCTCTTTTTAATGCAAATTAATATTCTCAAGCAGAACTTCTACTTCAGGCACTGAGGATGTAGGGAGCTAAAAAAAGAAAACAAACATGCAAGGACTAGCAGAGTTGTGACTACTTTATATTACCTCTTCAGACCTGGCAAAAAGATCCTCAAACCAGTCCTTGTATAAGTCAAAGAGAGCTTTTTAAGCAATAGCATTTAAAAAGAAATTAAAGAAATAAAAAGAAAAGGCAATGTGCAACCCAAACTGAACTTATGTCATAATTTGGAACTGATACAGTGCTGGCCGTATGTGGAAGGACAAAATCTACCCCACCCCAGTGAGGAAGAAGCATATGGACATGGTATTTACTGTAAGCCTGGAAAAGGAAGGAGAACAGTGTTTGGTTTAGAGCAGCAGCACAATGCCACTGTTTATCTGGCAGGACTCTGTTCAACTGCATTTGTAGCAGTGACTAAGCCAAAAAATGAAGTGATAAGTAGCAAGAACATAAACACGACAGGCTCTCGGGGAAAAGTATCTCAGACTGAGGTACATGCAGGTGAGATCAGACAAGGAGGTAAAAAACAATGGAATAAACTTTTCTCAAAGGCCCTCACTCCTTTACTAATGTCAACATGGGGAAATAAATAAATAAATAAATAAATAAATAAATTTGAAAAAGATTCATGTCCCTCCTTGTACATCCTTGCCGATTTCATTACTATTCCAACAGCTCTGCAATCTTGGTCCATCTTGAGTGCACAGGCCTTGACCTCAGTACCTGTGGTACTCTCCAGTCACTAAATCATGCTACTACAGCATAATTCAGCACATTGTGAGTCTTGAGAAACTACAGCAAAATTATAAAACTTATTGAGAATAAGCAACAGCACAGGGAACAGTAATGTGTGTTAAAATAAGGTCTCAGCTTTCCAGTAGCGTGTACATCTTGTCTTACTTTGAAACAGCAAGTGAAGTGCTTGCAACCAAAAGAGACAAAGCAGAGGATGAGTATGTAACTTGCAATGAATTACTGCCCTCTGAGTAACGATTTTTTACATGATATCATAAATATTTTCTGACTCTGAAGACAATCTGAATCAGAATTAATTTTTGGAAACAGCACCTGGGAAGCACTGCTGTTTGCTATGCGACATAATAGCCTATCACTTTTTTAAGATGCAGGGCAGAAAGGTGGAACAAAATTTTATTTCTACCCTGCAGGTGGGCTTCCATCATCTCAGAACTCTGGAAGAAGCTGTCCCTGCTATATATTCTGCCAGTCTGATTTTACAAAGACATGGGCTTCAGCAAACCAGGAATGACTGCAATGAAGTAAGTTTCACAAAAGTAAAACAACTGGAGAAAGAGAAACATGCTGCCTTCAGAGAAAAACTAACATCGTCACCAAAAATCCCAAACCAAAAAACAAACATCTCCCCCCATCCCTAATCAATCACAAACATTCCCATAACCAAAAAAGGTTTCAGTGGAATGGAAAACTGAACACACCATACTTCACTCCTGGATGCAAAACTTCACTCCTGTACTAAACAGGAAAGCAGAGACCTAACCTACCAGCAAATGAAGTTGTCATGAAGAACAGATATGAAGAATAGTATGACATATTGTGCAGTATAGTATTCTGAAGGATAGATGTACACTCTGTTTGTACAAGAAACAAATGACTGTATGCCGAAGAGGCAACAACAGAAAAATCTTGGAGTGAATTACTGCAACTATATAATAAAGGATTCATGAAAACAATCACCACATTCACACTTATGTTCTTGTCTTGCAAAGCTTTGTCTGAATAGTTCTTTTAGGGACATGAAACAGGGCTACAAAGTCACAGAAGCAGAAAGTGGACTTCTGCAGTGTTGAGCAAAAGGACCTGTACATGGGCCTGACCCTGCTTTTCTGTGAAGGTGCTGGGGGTTGTGCCTGAATCGGGTGTTATGGGCACAAACTATGAGAAGGGGGATCAAGAACCAAAGGGAGTAGACCTACAAGTGAGGTCCCAAGACACATTTACCTTCCACATTCCTGTAAGCGAGCTGCTTAGAGGAGCCATGAATTACACCAGAAACAGTCATGGTGTGAAACTGAGAACAGCCAGGGCACTGTTGATACAGAAGTGTTAATGTGATGTCCAGGGAAGAGCACGACAAATGGCACAGCAGAATTTTGCTGTCACAGCAAGAGGAGACCAGAGCATAGCTATATTCTGTAATTTCTAAATCCAAACCACTGCTGCATTCCAGTGTGAATACATAACTTTGATCAAGGTATCAAAGCAAAGTGAGCTGCCAGGCCCTCATGCCATGCATACCTATGACTCCCACTGATTGAAATGGGAGTACTGTGTGCATTCAAAAAGCACATCCCCCAGCAACTATCTCCAATATTCATAAAAACAGCCCAGAAGAAACAGATTCTGAAAGACTGAAGGATTAATGTGAAAGCATTTGCAAAGAAGAAAAAAACAAACAAAAAACCCCACTGGGTATCTACAAACACAATCATTATTATTCTCTCCCCAACCTATGAAATTAGGAATCTTAAATGCATGCCTTCTATACCCACAGGATGATAACAATTTATCAGCTTGTCCTTTTAATGCTGGATGTCTGCTTTGGTAAAAAGAGCAGGGAAAAACAAGGCACAAAAAGTCTAATACACTAAAGAAAATTTTTTATTTAGCCAATAAATTACTTCTTGATTTAGAAGGTGTCTTCTAGGGGAAGGGGATCTTTCTAGCAATCAGATGGCAGTACGGCAATTTCGATTTTTGCATCCTAATGCAACTTTCTAAAGAAGAGGCTTAAAACTGCTCTAGAAAGGCTTGTTTAAGCTTTCTTCCTGTTGCTCTATGTACAAAACGAAAGCAATCATGACTGGCAGCACAAGATCAATTTGTATATGGAGAAACAGAGCACTTACCCTAAAAACCAAACAAACCAACTCATTCCAAGCCTCCAAATTAGGACACTACACATGCACACTGTAAAGGTCTACTAGCACTACAAATAACCAAGCACTGGTGGCTCACAAGTGCTGTCTTGACAAAAAAACCAACCTTTTCTTGATATAGTTTGTGGAGCCAGGTAGAACATTCCTGCTCATCTTTTGGGACATCCTCTAGTGGAATCCGCCTGCCAATGGTAAACAAGAGATATTGAAGAATATTAAATACCTTGACTTTCATGAACAGTGCTTGCATTATACAGACAGATTATCTGACAGGAGACTCACTACATTTATCTTCTTTTTTGAACTTGTGCAACACCTACAGCACTTTAACAAACAAATATGGAGGAGATCTTGAAGAAATCTGTCATAGTCCCCAGCTACCTGTCACAACAAATTTAGCCATGAAGTTTATCCTGCCTTAACAGCTTTTCAGAATGGGCAAGCAGCTACCCTATGTTGTGAAAAGCAATTTCTATGCTATGCCAGAGTGACTTGCAGCAGGCTGAAATGGTGCAAAGGGAGACACAGCAAGAGGAACTCGTCTGCTCTGTTGGAGCTGACATCCACAGGCAGGGCTCCGTGAATGCCAACCAGCCAGGCTGTGTACACCAAACATGAGGACACCAGGCTGAGCTACCATGCGGGAAGAGGAATCAAGAGAAACTTCATTTTTACTCTTGGACAAAAACAGTTCTGAACAAAATACTTTTTCAAACAGGCAGAAAAGGAGAAGTAAAAAAAAAGGTCACCCTATTCCACTTCATGTTGCTTTCCAGAATAAAGTAACTGCACCAGCTCACTAGTCCTTAAGAGAGCTCTTAAGAGGTTATGATGAACTCTTGATCACTTGCAGCATCACTTCTAGGCTACCCTAGATACTTCCAACCCTACATCATCACATGCCCTGAGTGCCTTAGCACAGGTGATGCTGGTACAACCTCACCTGGAAATTGGCCCTTTCCCATTAAGATCATGGGAAACCATTAGGGTATTTGTAATTTATAGAAACCTTAATAAAAAGGAATCCAGGTAATGTTTTTTTCATTAAACAACCTCCTTGTTGGTAGGGAGGCTGCAGCTGTCAAATACTTCAACAATGACACCACCAGATGGGAAAGTTGTGAGCCTGACCTCCACCAGAGGAACTGGAACTGTGCCAGAGACAGGTATATTCAACTCCACCTGAACACTTAGATTGTGTTGGGTATTCTGGCCAAGGGAGTGAAAAGAGGCCCCAGTGCTGCTGCTGAGCTAACAGACACACAAATGAGTAAAAAAATAACAAACAAAAAGTTCTTTAGACATTTATGGGCTCCTCACATACTTATAATCACAAAACTTTACCAGAAACACTTCCCAACTCATACGAATTTTTATTTGAAGTTCTGTGAAGCCAGGTTGGTAGAGATCTGCTTTCTGTTACCTACTTGAAAACATTCCCTTATTTGACCAAGTGTGATTTCAAGTACATACTCCTACTAAAAAGGAATTAAAATATGGATTACTTGCCTTACATATAAATCTGCATGATACTTCTTTCCATTTAGAACTCCCAGCAATGTTGGATTTTCATTATTTCTAAAATTAAGGGTAGAATCATAGACTGCAGAAACTACAAGAAGAAAAACAGGTTATGTGTTTACTGTAGTAATACAATGGAAGTAAGTAATTCTCTCTCAGACAAGGAGAATATTTAAGTAAGTCATTGCCATAGCACCACAGTTTGAGCTGTCATCAAGGTAAAAATGACAATGAAATATTCAGCATGCAGGTTTTCAGAAGCCAAATAATCAGGAAATGCACCAGCAGAATGGAAAGGTTTGCTCTCCATTCACCCCCATCTCCTTCCTCATCAGGTGCAGAATGATGGGCACAGGGAACACAGCTACAGCTTCTGACAGAATTCACCTAGGACTTCCTAGGAGTCAAATGGCTGCAGAATTGTTACCTTTTTCAGTTCACTGTGAATCAACAACTACTCCTGAAATCTCAGGAAACAACCAGGCAGATACACATTTTACAAACAATGCCCAATATATACCCTTTGACTAAGAACAGGTAAAGTGTGTGTGAGAGAACCCCTACAGCAGGAGGGCTTCATGCAGCCATAAGTGGCCGGGGTCCATGTCCATTATTTGGTAACTCAGGCACTTCCTCTAGGGCAAAGGCAGAGAGAGAATGACACACCACATCTGGTGTCAGCTGGCTGCTGCTATGAAGACATGCAGATGTGAGGAATAGAACATAAAATTCTGATGAACAAAACTGCAGCCAAACTTCCAGCATTGAGAAAACTGTTTGTAAAGTTCAGGACTGAGCTGGAACAGTAAAACCATTTGCAAAGGATGATGGCAGATAAACTAAAAGAGCAGTAACAAGCAGTTTCTACAGAAAAAGCATTCACTGTTTAAAATCACATGAAGTGTTGCAAAAAAGTTTATTTGAACACATCCTTACATACACTATTTTCCTGATGGTACTAAATTACCAGAGATGACTTATTTTCCTGACACTGAAATCAGTTGTGCATCATGGTATGAACTCTAAGAGCAATGACAGCAAAAATAACTTGTTGATTTTTTGTCACAAAAATGACAAAGAAGCATTTTCATGTATAGCCTGTGGTATTTTAGGTTTTCTGCTTTGGAGTTTTGCAATAATGAATAAAAATGCATGTGGTGAACCTTTATTGTTAGACCTCTTGACCCACCTAGGAAAGACTTATTACACAGGACAGATTTGCTCTTGGTTTTGAAACCTCTCTAGCTATGAGAAATAAATATGATTTGGCCTCAGCATTTAGCTCCCAGAAACTCACCACATCATTTGTTACTGCAGGACTGAATTCATAGTGGAGAATAGAACAGCCTGGCTTCAGTGCTGAAAGGAAATCCTAAAAACAAAGGCCAAACCCCTGTCACTGCAAAAGACTCTGTCCCTCACTACTAACTCCTTCAAAGCAAAGTCTACTTCAAGCACACTGCTTTCTCTGTACAAGTATGAAATTACTTTTTAAAAATCAATTATCTGCCTCCATTTTTAAGCTTCTTAGTGTAGAAGGATTTTACTAATCTACTCTAATTTAGTAATCCAATGTAATTGAAGGAAAACAAGAGCTCAGTTTGGTTTATATGGTGTAAGCTCCTTAGTTTTTTCAATAATAGCATGAGATTATTCTAACAACAATAGGGATGCAATAAAGTGAAGTATGATATAAACAACACTTTTTCTTCCATCTCTTACAAGGTATCTACATTGAGTTTTTATATGAATTGGGCTTTTGTTGAGACACATTGGAAAACAGTTGTCCTGTTCTGAAAAAAAACTGTGGAGATGGACAGGAACATCTTTATGTGCTGACAAGTTTTACACAGAGCATTCCTTTTCTCTGGGGGAAAAAAAATGCTATTCCAGTTTCCAACTGGTCTGTATTCAGTCCAGTATCTTTTAATAAAACACTGAAACCTTTTGCTGCAAAGCAGTGCCAAACTCAAGACAATGATAGCAATGTGCAGGAGTAAACAGACCTCTGCTACCTAGATATAACTGAAGATAACTGAAAACTTTAGCTTCCTCATTCTGAGAGTGCAGGAAAATAACAATGAAAGTGTCCAAGAAAAAGTCTGCTTTAAATTAAAATTTGCCAGAAAGCATCCATAGTCAAAGCAGCACTAGCATGCTGTGTGACACACTAGAACTGGTTATCATTAAACACAGATTTTGTAATTGGATAATTAGAATTGGACATCTCATGACTTTCTCATCCAAAAGCTGAAGAGACAAGAAAATCTAGATTCTAAAACAAGTAAAAAAATAACTCCATAGTATCTTGAGAACATCACAACTGTCTCACTCTCAGGCTAATATAAGCAGCATTTGAGAAATTTTGCTTAAATTGTAAAATATTTTTTCAAAGGAGTTATAGCTCAGATATCTCTTTTTCATTAAAAACAAATACAAATATTTGAAAGCCTTTTCTTTCTGTCAAAAAACTGATTAGGTTTTTGTTGTTGTTGTTTTCTAATCTCTGCCCAGCTTTTTTTCATATCATTAACTTTTGGTTCCTTCTACAGCATTCTGACAGAGAGCTAAGTACTTAAGAATTTAAGATTTAATTTCTTAACTTCAACCTAAAAAAATCTTCGGATTACATATCTAGAGAGGATTTTTCTTACTTTGACTGTCCTCTTGAATTTCTCGCATTATTTTGTGGCCATGGTGGATTATGCCAGGGTGATTCACTGAAAAATCAACCTACAGGCAATGACTATGGCTACATACATTTTCATACTAGCACAAAATGATCTGAAGACTGGAAAAGGGAGGGAAAGGTACAGTGACATTCACTGTTCTGCTGATGTGACACCACCCTGACACAAACCTTTGATTTAACATTTCATTAATTGGGCCAGATTGAACAAAAACCACTCATCCTCTCAAACTTGGTTACTTGCTCTGGATGATGAATAGAGGCCCACTTGGAAAAAAAATTAAAAATCCAGGACTAACATACAGCTCATGGGGAAAAAAGTCATTGCAATACTCCCAAATACTGTCATACTGAATCCTTGAGAATATCACCCTGGAATTTATTCTCATCCATTCCCTCTGGGACAGACATGCACAACTGGAGGAAAAGGTACACAACAAAACTTGGGCTTATCTACAACCCACTGTGAAGTACATGTTTAAGTACAAGTCTTAACTAAATAAAAGCAGCTGGAAGGAACTGCCTGATACACAATCAGACAATAAAAGTAACAGTTAAATATATCTTTTGTAGTGTTTGAGACATCTACTTTTATTGTAAGTAATGGATGAATGTTTTAGAAACAGATTTGTATTTTAATTTGGTTCCATGAACAGTACAGGTAGCAAACAGCAATTTTTAAAGAAAGTGAACAGCTTCTAGAAATTAAGTTCCTGGGAACTGCATCTGTAAAACCATACTGGTAGGAATGGTCATTGACAAAACTATCAGAACAAGTTCAGAAAATATTAAAAGCATTTCTTTAAGAATCAAATTATGTACAGAGATATGAACTTCAGAAAGCAAGTTTTGGAGGAAAAAACAATTCCATTATCACTTATGAAAGAAATCAGTTAGGCGAGAAGGTTCTTTACTTGTTATTTAGCGTGGAGGGTATTTTTATCCAAATTCATCTGCTTATGCTGACAGATACGGCATCACTGGCATAGAGGCAGCTTCCAATATATGCACATTAAATAAACTTTTTCTGAAACAAAGCTTTTCAAAACAAGTGGGCTTGCCAGACTGATGCCACCAATGTCTATTTCCAACTACTGCAGAACTACTTCAGAACTCGTTCCAGAGTGACTCCAGCTGGTAGCATTAAGACTTCATACAAAGTTTTGAAGAGGACCAACCCGTGATCTCTGCTGCCATGGGTAAATTACAGCTACAGCCAGAGATACCAGCAACTACCCATCCCACAGTACTACAGCCTCTGACAAGCTGAATCACACCCTTGTCAGAAAGGAGGAAAAAAAATGGGACAGGAGCTCTGTCACACCCAGCTGTGAACTGGTCCCTAACCTGTGACTTGGCTCCACTGCTAGGTCGTGCTGCAGCTACATCCCTTAGCAAGGCACTCCAGCCAGGCACATCACCCTTGTGGGTGAACAGAAGGTGCATCAGCCTTGGTGGCAGAACCCAAAATGGGCTCACGCAGTTCAGCACCAGTCTCTCACTTTCAGACATGCATAGGGATATGACCGAATTTCCTGGCAGTATTACATTTCCAGATCATGGACTGTCAAAGGAGAACTGTCATCACATTCTCTATTCAAAAAACATAAATGGACTTACTTATTATCTGTACATAATAATGTTATTAGGAGTTCTAAAAAATAAGACATTGTTTTCAGATGCTCTTTACATGAACCCCTTATCTCTATAGGACAGAAACATGCAGTAACCCAAGCAGTAACCTTTCTATCTTCCTCTCATTGCAAAAAGCAACAAGGCAAGTAAAGCAATAAACCTAGAAGAACCTGTGACACCAGTTTGGGGTCATCAAATTCTCAGAGGTTTGTTGGTTGGATTTTTAAGCTCAACAGTTTTTGCTGAAACTGTGTATGACAAGTTATGACTCTGCTTCTCCTCGAACCCTCACAGGGAAATACTGCCTTCTTACTGGCCTGACACTGCTCGATCTAGCAAGTTACAGCTTCTGGACTGAGGCAGTGACATATACTCTTCTAAAGAAATAAGGTATCTAGCAACCTCAGTCTTCTTTTTCTGAAGGTATTTCAAATATTTAGGGTACTAGTAAGTGTTGTTGTAGTGTGTTGCTTGAATGTCCAAATTTTTTATAAATGTCACTTGGGTTTCCTAAAGTTGTTTCCTTATGGAATGTTTGCCCACGGATCAGCTACTTATCCCCAATCACGCCATATTTTGTTTGCATTACACAGAGCAGTGAAAAGAAAAAAAATCACCACCAAAATAACCTGTTCCTGATTCCCAGCTCAAGGGATTAGAGACCACAGAGTTTTGACTCATCCCTTTTTCTGTGCCTCAAGTCTACTACCCCTGCCCTCAGCAGAGCAGTCACCCTTATTCAAAAGGCAAGGCTGAACTGTGCTCTTAAGGGGGTTGCTGGATGCTTCACGTAACTTACCTCTTCTTCATGGATCACAAAGGATCCAAGCTCTCCTATCCATCTTGGGGGTGGGAAGCTGTGGGTGCCTAGGAAGCTACAAGAGTAGTATGATCTACCTGGTTTGCCAGAGGACATTTAGAAGAAATACAAGAGAGAGTAAGCCAGCTGACTGGGAAGCTTTTCTTACAGCAGCTATCCCAGATATGCCACATGAAAACATGCCTTCAAAGACAAAAGAAGTTTTGACATTAACTTCAGTCAAGATGGAACATTTTCTTCTAAACCAGAAACCATTTCTTTCTTTCTTACACATCAGCCATCTAACACACAAACCTATCAGACCCCAAAGACCCTGTAACACTACAGCTACTTAGCATTGTCTTTCCTTTGCCCATGAAGCAAAGCACAGCAGAAGACTCCAATAGTATCAGTCAAAGAATATTACTTCAAAGGCAACGTGTGTAATATTCTTACTTGATGTCACTTTAAAGTTGGCAAATGCAAGTAACCAGAAATAAATGGGGAGCTCAAAACAATATTAATGAAGAAAAACTTACACATTTTGTAATGTAGAAACTGTTTATAAATTTCACCTAGATGTATCTTCAGTCAATGTCTACTCCCCTTCCTCAGCTCCATTAAGAAACTCTAAAGAGCAAATCTATATAGAAATTTAAAGCAGAATATTCTCTGATTTAAGAACTGCATTATTTGAAGTAGTTATTTACCACAAGAAATTATTTTGAGAGACACTGCCTCAGACTCTCTACTGATGCATTTGCTTCATTTAGAATAGAATTGCTTAGCAAATACTAAGAAATAGTATCCTTTGGCAATAGGTACAAGAATATGCAACAAAGTATGTACCAACTGGTACAAAATATGCAACTGAGATTCCCCAACACAGAGTCACAGGTAACAAAACATAACAATAATAAATTAAAACCCCCAAAAAACCAACCCCACAAACTGATTCAGGACTTTGTTAATAAAACCAGAGGCTAGTGAAAAAATGGTCTGAAAGCATCCCAGGATTTTTCTGCTAAGGCACGTGCTAGAGGGAAAAGAAAAGCAAGGCAAACTGTCAGCAGTTAGAGGAAATAACCACTTAGCATTGTCCCCTGTGACTTTCCTTACCTACATTTCTCAAACACTGCACGGTGACAGCAAATCCTTTTGTTCGTGGCAGGAGGTGGTACTTGAGCTTGGGCAGACCTTTGGCTTCAGCTACCTGCATGCTGATCTGGTGCTTCTGTTCTGTGAACCTTGTGCCCTCACAATGAATCAGGAACTAAAACCAAGACACAACTACAGTTAGACACACAGTCAGGTCTTCTGCTGACTGAGCAGAGGTTTCTCTAATTCCCACCAGCACAACCCAAATTAACACTGCTAGCAGGGATGGGTGTAGCCACATACAAATTTATATAATTTATTTGACTGAGGTAAAAAATCCCAACTAACAAAAAAAACCCCAAAAAAACAAACAACCCAAAACCCCAAATCCAAACACTCATGCAACTCTCCATCCGGTTTGAACTTCAGCCTTTAGGCTTTAACATCTGCTTTGCTACTTGCCATCAGAATAGCTTGGTTTCTCTGAGTCACTCCATCTCTAATGAGCTCTCAGAAAACACTTAAAAACCACTCCTGTTGTAGACCTCTCTCTCTGATGGTGAAGTGTTCAAATATCATGGCATCTAAAACTTGCTAAGTGTCAAAACCAAACACATTTTTAGGAAGTGCTTCAGTGCCCAGCTTGTTTACTCTCACTCCAACCTGCTTGCTTTCCCTATGGCACTTGAGGTCCATGGACAACTTAGACAGTAACTCTGATGCCAGGGAGACAGCTGGTAACAGATGTAAGGCAGCACATGCAGGACAACAGAAAGGCTCATGCTCTTATGAACTATACAGGGAAGTGCTCAGACATGAATAATTACAATCTTGTCACTGGCAAGCAGAGGAGAGCACACAGATCTTTGCAGATTTACCACTTGTTCATCTGCTTTCTGCCAAGCATGAATGCAAAGTAACACATCAGAGAGCACTGCCAAATCACACAAAGTAAGTCCTTATAACCCACGGCAAAAATGTAGCCAAAAAAGACAAGAGATATTGAAGAAACTAGCCAAACAGTCAGCTTCAGTTCTAGCCCATCCAAGAGTGCTTTCACTCTGTGTTGCAAGCAGAATGTTATCAGATTGATGAGACATAGAGAAACTGATAAGAAAATCTCTCAAGTTCACTTAGCATGCTCTGCCTTGTCTGCCTTTCAAGGTGCTATTGTTGTGCCTTTTGACATTATGTCATCATACAAATGCAAATTAAAACTCCACACTGCAATAACCCCAAGTGTACATCAACAATTATGTCCCTTCCACAGGTATAGCTCCTTTTTAGCAATCCCTCTACAGGAGTATCTGCAGGATGGTGGTGGCTTGTGCTCACTGATTAGAGTTGAGTTGCCTATGTGTATAGAAAAGTCACAGAGCATAGGCAAATCTCTGGAGAGAAACTGAAACTAAAATCCCAGAATCACCCCTTTGCTACAGCCTCCTGCCTGCAAGTCACTTAAACATTGAAACACAGAGATCAATTTTGATTGCTTAGCACTCATTTGAAGCAATGACAATTAACAAAAAAAATTTGTTTCGGAGCACGAGAAATATAGTATATACATCTTCACAAGGGAACAGCAATAGTTTCTGTAGGCCCCCAGAGACGCTGCTTAAGATTCCATTTCTTTAACTGAATTGCACTCTTGTCACCACTAGCTCAGAAGAACTGCAATTTCTATGATTTCTGAGAAGAGAAGAAGTTCAAAGGCTTTTCATTCTCAGATAAGGAAATGCCAGAACGGTGAATACTAAAAAATTATGGTGATGCAAAAAGTAAAACTTGCTTCGTACTGAAGAGTGAGACCAATCCTCTCCCTGGAACACAGTCAATGGCTCCATCAGGCCACTTCTCTGACCACATGGCTTCTACTTCTACTGGACCATGTCTGACCAAACACCTTCCCCAGGAATGGCACCATCACAGGGAAGGAGAAAACACTAATATGAACTCAGCACTCTAAGGTGAGACGGGAGCTTAGGTAACAAATACAGTTAATGTGCTTCAATACAACATTGTCACATGCATCTGTTACACAGCCATGAACCCCTGCATCTACCCACCCCTATCCAGTGCCTGTAATTAGAGAACCCCAAACTTTACTGAGTAGATCACACTGCAGGTATTTTTGCAGTAATATCTGTAGGGCTCTCTGTAGGGCTCTGTACTATAGAGAAGGAAACACACAACACAGTACGTAGGAAACTCCAGAGAGAATTCAGTTGAGAGTATTCTCCTGATACTCTCAAGAAAGCTACTGAATCAAAAATCTCAGCAACAACCTGGTAAGCATCACATATTGCCTGTGCCTCTCACTCCTGCTGAGCACTACAGCACCTCACACTCCACTTGTTAGTCATCACTCACCCAGAAGTTTTCAGGGTAGTCCCTGAGATTGAGCAACTTCTGTACGACTGTTTTCCGATCTTCCTCCCACTTGCGCTTGCAGAAGACAATCTCTAGGAAATACCACATCCAGCCAATGATGGGCATGTAGGAGAGCTCCTTCTTTGCAAGCACTTTGGAACTCTGAAAGACAGAATCAAAGCAAGTCAAACAGAGTTAAACCATGTAAGAGTGCACTGTGGGAATGAGACTAGCATAGTTACACACAAACTTATCGATTCATATTGACCAGACCCAGTTTTAACACCAGTGTAAAACCAAAACAAAGAAAACTAAGTTTCTCTCCTATGACAGAACAGTCAAATCTCATCTTGGTATCTGCACGGAAAACTTCTAGAATTAAATATATTAGAGTGTGTTGCTCTATCCTACCCAAACACTGAAACCCAAAAGTGAAGCCAAATTCCTTCAAAGGAAGCCGTATCAATCAAAATTCTTAATTTAGTCAGATCCTGGCAGTGGCACCTCAATTTCCTTTAAGATACCTTGAAACTATGCTTCTCCCCAAAGCTGGGGCATCTCAACACAGGGGAAAAAAAAAAAAGAAAGAGAGAAAAAAAAAAAAGCAGAGTCACAGAGCCATTGCAGCACAACATACTGATGCTGTGCACACATGGTTTACCAACAGAAGAAACCTTAAACACTAGAAACTAGGCTAAAAACTAGAAACAACAGCAGCAATAAGAATACTTAATTTGTGTTCAGTTTGGTTGATGAAAGGGCAGCAAAAGCGAATTTCTCTTCAAAGCATGCTTCTGGAGTAGGAAAAATCAAAAAAGCACTCTTCCTGTCTCACAGGTGTGACAGACATTGAAGTGACTGGTCCAGACCCTCCACAGGAAGTCTCTGATTTTTCAAGCATTCAACATATTCTGTAAGTTAATCCTACTCCAGAATTTAACTCTGTGATCATCTCATCCCCTAACATCCCCTAGGGCAGGAGAACTGATCCTATGTGCTCCTTTCCTGTCTTCCAAGCCAGCCTACCCTGGTGAGCTGTCTTACATTTCACTTGGTTATTTAATCAATGAAATGGCACATGTGTGTGTTCCGTTCATAAAGAAATTCAGCATTTCCTAAAAAACAGTGACACTTCCTTAGAAGAAAGATGGGACCAATTACAGTCCAGTTTCTGACCATGATATTATTATAAGCTAGCCCTTCAAAAAGCTCTGCAGATGGATTCCACGACAAGGCATTTGACTAGAAATTACTTATTGGTAGAAGTTACCATCAACAGAAAATATTTACTTTTATCTTTTTAGTCACTCTTGTTCATTTGGCTGCTACAGCAAGAGACTTGACCTAATTCTTTATCTCAGCTCATTCTTTTCATCTGCTCTCCTTCCTTGAGAAGGAAAATACCTTAAATAATTAAGCTCTCTAAAAGCTCATAAGACTGGAAGGCAAGTGTACATCACACAGCTTCACCAGCAAATGTTACACAGAAGCAGAACAGAGGATGCCAGAGTTCCATTTCTAAGAATGCAGGAGGAATCATCTCTATCAAATGATTTAATGCTTTGTAATAATAGTGCTCTCTCTTGAGCATTTGAGAATTTAATAATTTCAGTGACGGGCTCAGATCAGAACTCCAAACCCACTGCTCCCCTGAGAAGCAGCTGCAGTAATTTCAGTTTCAAGCCATGCTGTACATTAGTCCCCATTACAGGACAGCAGCAACACTGAATCCAGCCTCCTCTTCAGCTCCCCAAACTGGGCACAGAGAAATAGGCTCTCCTTTTAGAAACAGGCTCTCCTTTTACCACTTCCCTGCACAACGAGGCCAACAGCAACCCTATCACCTACCACTACCCTCCCCTGCAAAAGAGAAGAAACCTCAACGTGTTCTTAAAGTTTATTTACAGCAAGTGTTCAGTGTCATAATAACTACCATAAACTAATGTAAGTGTACTCTGCATAGAGTGCACAAGGCCTACAGAACAGTGTCAGGACAATGTAATAGCTCCTCCTGCAGACTTTAAAGTGCAGAAATTATAGTCCAAAAAGCTAGCTAAAATGACTCTTTCACCATACCTATTTTCTAATACTTAACATATTTTAAGAAGAGCACGAGTCACACAAGAGGCAGGAGAGAAGTTGCACCCAGCTCAGTGAAGCCAAGGAAGGATCCTGTGAGAGAAGGTTCTGTATCACAGGTACAACCCTGAAAGCACAACAATATCTGAGCTCTTCCCTGGGGCACGTGCTTAATTCTTTTACTGTGCTGATGCATTTTTTAAATTTAAAAGTGCTCTTTTAGACACGTGTGAGTATGACTCGTTAGATGCACATAAAAATAAACTAAATCACCTCACACTATTTTATGCATCCATCTGTTCTAGGAGTAGAAGGAAAGCTGACGACAGAACTAATTAGACAAAGGAAACTCCTCAATGCATTTTGCTGGCAAGGATGCTCCTGTGAGGGAGGAATACATTAGGCCTCTCCTCAGAGCTGCCATACAGGCTGGGGAATGGGATGCTGGAGAGCAGTGCTGCAGGAAGGGACCTGGGGGTCTTGGTCACTGGCAAGTTGATCATGAGCCAGCAGTGCCCTGGGAGCCAGGAGGGCCAGCCCTGTCCTGGGGGCATCAGGCACAGCATCACAGCCGGGCAAGGGAGGGGATTGTCCTGCTCTGCTCTGAGCTGGGGTAGCCTCACCCCAAGTGCAGGGGGAAGCTTTGGGTGCCACAATGTAAGACATGAAACTATTACAGAGTGTCCAAAGGAGGTCCACGAGGATGGGGAAGGGCCTTGAGGGGAAGCCGTGTGAGAACAGCTGAGATCACTGGGTCTGGTCAGCCTGGAGGAGACTGAGGGGAGCCCTCACTGCAGTTGCAGCTTCCTTGGGAGAGGAAGAGGAGGGGCAGGCACTGATCTCTGCTGTGTGCTGACCAGTGACAGGACCCGAGGGAACGGCCTGAAGCTGTGTCAGTGTGGGTTTAGGTTGGATGTTAGGGAAAAGGTTTTCCACCCCAAAGCGTTTAGCACTGGAACTTCCCCAGGGAAGTGGTCACAGCACCAGCCTGACAGAGTCCAAGAAGCATCTGAACAACTCTTGGGCACCGGGTGTGATTCCTGGGGATGGTGCTGTGCAGGATCAGGAGCTGGACTCGATGATCCTTGTGGGTCCCTTCCAACTCTGCATGTTCTGTGATTCTGTGTTCCCTCTTACAATTACAAGAGCTTTAACTAGTGCTGTTCTGTTCCAGTCATCTACTCATGCACAGCTCCTGTGAAAATACCTTGGGGGAAAAACGCAACTCTAATTGACTTCAGACACTAACTTTTCCTTTTCTGAAGTGCTTTGGTAAATATGTGACAGTTACCCCTAACCTTCAAATTCAGCTTGTTCACAGAAAAATAATCATTAAAAAATGCTGATTTATTCTATGTAAGCTGCCTTCTTGAAGGAAGTCAAACATTTTTCAGAATGTTCGTAATGCTCCGAACTGTCTAATTTCAACAGATGTTTAATGAAATTATCACTGGACAGGGACAACTTATCTACAAGACTAACACTGAAATAATTTTAATTTAACCAAATTTTAAAAATTTAATTTAAATTTGACCAAATTAATTCAAATGAAATTCCCATGAAGTTCTCCTTTCATGAACGATTGCACCAACATCACCTTAAAAAAAGTATTTTTACAAACTTGCTTTATGCCCAACTATGCTGTGAAAGAAAGACAATCCTGGTTCTACATGCCCAGCCTCAGTTATTCAACACCTCTTGTTTAGAGAACACAACAAACAGCATGAAATCAACATGCAAGCTGAAAGTGTCCAACAAAACTTGTTCTTGATTTTAAAACAAGTTCATTGTAGTGCAAACCATTAGCAACAGCAACCTGCCTTGTAAGTTATTTGCTCTCCAGGCTGCCTTCAGCATTGACATACTTTCCATGATTCTGACTGCTCTACTTTTGAAATACATCATTCCTTTTATTATTCTCTCTGGGACATCATGATGGCAAGGTATGTTTCTTTCTCAAAGCCATCATTTCAGAAATTTAGTTATGCTCCTCATGTTTCATATTGAATAAAACTTCTCCATGTTGGAAAGGTAACACATACTGATCTCTAGCAAGACCGATTTTGTCCCTTTACCACTTCAAATCTAATTTAAAAATCTGTTAATATATTAAAAAACCTATTGTGCCCACACACCTATTAGTCTCGTACAATAATATAATAAAGTATCTTCTCACACCTACATTTAAGGCCACGCTCAGCTTTTGAAACAGCAAGCTTCAACATGAGCAGCACTCAAATAAAATTAAGTTTCCTGACATATGGAAAAGGTAGTTGAGGTTAAAACCAGCAGGTTTAGCTTTAAAGCACAGGCAATTTTTGCCAATATTAGCGTCTTTATCTCAGACAAATGGTTGTTAAAATTACTAAAAAAGCTATTTTATTGCTGCTTTGTCAGACTAAACAACAAGGTAGTGAATCCAGGCAGGGAGCATATTAAAGTGCTTTTGGAAAGAATCTTGAATAACAGCTCCCTCCTCAGAACTTGCCCATGTCCTGATTTTGAGTTCTGGTGTCCATTGGGTCTCTTTTCAAGAGGATGGTTAGCAACACACCTTGAGGAAACTAAGGGCTACTAATGCATTTGAACGGGGACACAACGGCACAATGGCCAGGCTGTCCCAACTAAGTCAATCCTCAGACTGGAATGTCACAGACAGGAATGTCACAGACAGGAAAAGGGAAGGACACGGCAGAGAGCAGAGGACCTCATGCTACACATGTGCAAGATCTGAGTCCTCAGAAGAACACTCAGGTTCACAAACCTAAAAACAGGCAAGAGCCTATGCCACTCCCACTCTATCTCCCAAAAACAGCAAAAAAACCCAAACCCTAAACCACATTGATAAATCAAAGCCACACTGAGAGCTTTATAAACTCGTGGGGATTATGGCAATTTGGCTATAAGGAGAAAGCCAGTCCAGAAGAAGAGAGACAAGAGAAAGAGCAGACAAATGCACAGACTGAATGCTTCAACTAAGACCAGGAAGGGTAGCTTTCAAAAGGGAAATACTTTTTTTTGGGAACCCAAGGGGCAAGACAGGTTTAAGGATGTTTAACATTGTTTCAAATAAACAAAAACAATGGCTGGATTTCAGCTGGAATAGAGCTAATTTTCTTCCCAGTAGCTGTGTTTTGTGTTTAGGACAGGAATAATGTTGATAACACATGGATGTTTTTGGTTGTTGCTAAGCAGTGTTTACACTACATCAAGGACTCTGGCTTCTCACCACCCTGCCAGCGAGGAGACTGGCGGACACAAAGAGCTGGGAAGAGACACAGCAGGACAGCTGACTCCAACTAGCCAAAGGGATATTCCACACCATTTGATGTTATGCTCAGTATATAAACTAGGGGGAAAGATGGCTGGGGACTGCTGATAAGGAACTAGACTGTGGTGAACAACTCCATTGTGGATCCTTTTTTTATACACTTTGATTCTTTTATCACCATCATCATTATTTTTGTCCCTTCCTTTTCTCTCCTATTAAACTCTACCTCAATCCCCAATTCGCCCTCCCTCCCTCCCCCAACTGTCTCCCCCATCTCACGGGGGAGAGGAGTAAGCAAGTCACTGTGTGGTGTTTAGCTGCCTGGATGGTTAAACTGTAACAATCAAACAAAAAATTACAACATTTAAGGGCTTCAATAAAGAAATGTTCAAGTTGTAAAATACTGAGAGTTTGAACTCATGCTTGTGACACTCTTAAGAGCATTACTGTTGTCTGCCAGAGCTGCAGGGCACAGCTAGATGTTAAACAAAGCCATTCTGCCTGCTCCAGCCAAGCACACTCATTTCCAACTCCCTGGGCTCTAAGCTGTCGTCACCTTCTCCCTCTTCCCCCTCCCCAGTCATCTCTCCTTTCTTCACTGGATTAGTTAAGGCAGAAAAGAGACAGAAAGAGTATCTAAAACATCACCAAACAGGGCAGACAAGCATTATAATAGACACAGGAGATTGCACGTGCAAGACTTCAGCAGCAGACATGAGATCAGCTGAGTAGGGTGTTGGCTGATACCCAAAGTTTGCATAGAAACTTCACGGAGTATACAATTAAACATCATTAAATATAAACACCCATTGGCTCACAAAGTCCCTGAGCTACAAAACAGTGGAAGCTGTGACACCTTAGAAAGCCCTCTATACACTTTCCCCTTTCCTGTAACTCTTTCCCTAAACGACAGCTCTCATGGTTCTTACATTCCTACCTGTGCTGGCACACCATGCCCTGACACTTGGCACAGTGGAGGCCATGTAAGGCAGCACAAGTCAAACCTACACTCCCCATCACTGCACAAGCACTGACCCTTGCACTGGCCCAAGACAAGTACCAGTGTACCAATACAGACAATCTCATCAGGAAAATCACTGTTTAGCACTTTCCTTTCTTTATGGCTATTTTTAACATGGCTTAAGAAGAACTTGGGCTGGTTGCCCCAAGAGAGAAATGCACTGCTTTGTAAAGTAAAGATATCTATGCAAATGAAAGCACATGGAAACTATTTCTTCCGGGAACAGTTTCTGGGAAGTAAAACCACAGTACATTACTCGGGACTGAAATAATTTAGTGTTGGTTTTGGTGTTGGTTGTTTGGGTTTTTTGTTTTTGTTTTGTTGTTAAAAAATAAAAAAGCAAAACCACAACCAGCATATGTCAGTTTCTAAAATAATGCTAAGACTAGCATAAATGCAAACTGAGTAATAAATGCAAGGAGCCAAAAAAAAGAAAAAATATTTTCAGTTAGTGCAGCACAGTAATTTCAACAGTTGTTTCTGTGTTGTGGTTTCCTTACGTGTAGGTAAGAACACAAAAAACTAAAACAGAATTCTTATTAACTTGGAAAACTATTAAAAAAACTGGCAACTAGTGAGATTCCATCCAACCACACAGCAACAACATAAAACAGGGTATTTTTGACCTTGTAGGCGCCTATTTGTACAGAAACAATCCTTCTTCACTGATTTTCTACATTGGTGTTTTCTGAAGATGTACCTGATCCTTGAAAACACAGCTTTATTTAGAGAACTCAGGAAATTTGGCTTACAAAATTAGACAGACTGTACTACAGCACCACTGTTTTTTGCAATTACATATGCCTGCTGGGAACAGGTTTCCCTACATCTGCTACTGTTCCATGCCATCCTCCAGCTCTGTGCTCAAGTCTGATACAATATGGCAGAAGTGTTATTCAGAAGCCAACAGCCATTCTGGTTACACGAAGAGCCTGTAATGCTTAGGTTCACTTTCCTCCACTTTTAAGGCCCCTTTTTATGTTCTTGTCAAACAGACTGCCATTATTGCAATTTGAACGTGACAGAAGTGGTGCCTAAATGTCCAGAAAATGCAGAGTCCAAAGGGAAGGCCACATAAATCAGAGGTTCACACAACCCAAGGTCAGGACTTTTGACAATGGCCAGTACCAAAGCTAGAAGGATGCTGCACAACACTGCCAAAATGAGTCATTAGTCTTCTTTCTTATGAACAGGAACCCTTATCTAAATCCTTTAGAGACAGAGAATGTTGTCATCACCACAGAATGAAGTCAGGCTGATTTAGGTGCGGGCTTGAATTATCCCCATGATCTGACAGGGGAAACAAAAAAGCAACCTTGAAAACAAATGCACATGAACTCCTAGCTAATGTAGCAGTGTGTTCAACCATGAATAACTCATTCCTCTCCCATCCCTTACTGCTTTTAGCTGGTCACTGCATTCACTTAAGATGGCTGCTCTTTCATTCTGAGAGAGGCAGGCTAAATCATTCAAACTCTAGCTATAGATTTGTAAGACTACACTGGAAAAAGCAAACAAATTCTGTAATTTAACTGGGAAAGAATCATGGGATAGCCCATCTTTATGCAGCACAATGAACTGCTATAGTTACTGAGTAAACACACAGAGAGAAATAACTGTAATGATCTCCACAGGTTAAGAAAATATCTCCTTCATCAGCTTTAACTGCAATGCTTTTAAAATTTCTGTGGTTTCCCAAGCCATCCTGTCTCCACATACTTGCACTGCACTGCTTTAGGTTCACCTCTAATTTTGGACAGCAGCCAAGTGAAATTCAAGCATGGATCTGTTAATTCAAAAACACAACTAACTTATTTTGGGATTTTTTTTCACATCCTAGGACATTTACCTGGAATACTAAGTAACTCACCCCTAAGACCCCAAATCTCTCACAAAAGTTCCAGCCACAGAGAAAGTCAATTTCAAAGTTGTGATTAAGGATTACGATGGCATTCTCCTTCCCGTATTTGTGGTAATTCTCTGGGTCAGTGTAAAGGGTGCAGTCGGTGCCTGACCACCATTCCAGCAACATCACCATCTCTGAAAAGAAGAACAAGAAATATGTCAATGTACACAGTATATGCAAAACCACAAATCAGTAACATGTTGAAAACATCAGCCACCTCCACGGCATGTGGTACAGAAAGTGAAGAACACGTAAGAGGGCTGTTTAAAACACAGCTATCTTTACAAGCTGGAAAGTGGTTTCTCAGCAGTATCCTAGTGGCTATCATATGCCTTTCATTTCCTATTTGCTTGTTCCATTATCAAGCACAGGCTTGTACTGTATGCTTTGTATTTGTTTGCTTGGAACTCTAAGTCTGACCACAAGACTTGTGAATCAAACCTTTATTTAGCGAAATTGCTCTGGTCTGGGGCACAGGAAGTTGAGGTGAGTTGGTAAAGCCAAGAAGCTTGGAGACCTTTATCTCCATGGAGATGGAAAAAGAAAATCTAAACGCAATGGCTCTCCTAAAGCAACCCATGTCTTGAGCTGGAGGTACCATGGGACTAAATGAAAGCTGTCTGTCTGAGACTGAAAAGGAGTTAAGGGACACGCTTCCTTCCTGTCACAGCTGTCGGCAAAGTCCTGAAGGCAAAGGTCTAATGCAAGGGGTTATTCTTTGTTAAGTGAAATATATCTCCCTGGTGCCACATGAATGCCTCTGCTGGCAGGATGAGACATCCAAGATGCTCTCCTAGCTTAGGACAAGCCAGAAGGCACCAAAAATGCTCATTCACCTGAGGAAAGATCAAAACCAGGCCAGTCTTTGAAATACATTTGAATTCCTTTCCATTTTGGTCCCCTACTGGTCACAACTAGTGACAGAAAATAAACCTGCCAGGAACAGGTTTACATTTCCAGTCATCATGAGTAAAATTAACTGCCTGAAGCCCCTGGATGACATGCTGTACAATGGAGAACAGGCATTAATGATGTGAATGAATTCTATCTAACAGTCCTACAGGCAGGCTAATAGACAATCTCTATTCAGGTAACATTACCTTAATATGATAAAAGCATGTTTATGATACAGATACATGACTGACTTGTCAGTCCACCTGCTTACTTCTAATCAGGGGATGTGACTACTACTGCAGCAGGAGTACATTATTACTCAGTGCCTGCTTTTATGCATCCAAACAATAGCCTGAGATGTGGAAGGAGACCTAAACGTCCATATGCTAAACAGGCAATGGCAGATTTCACTGACTGCAAACTAATTTTTCAGTGAAAACCAAAACTGTTCACATCTCAGTGAGGCAGCTGTGAAGATACAGAAGCATATACCTTGAAGACTTCCCCTGCAAAGAGCTGCCTTGTGAAACGCACTTAATATCGTATCTTTCTAAGGTCATAGCTTTCTATTAGATTTATACTGGAAATAAAAGCCCTTCACTCCCTGAAACACAGCAAAATTGAGTAATAGGTGGGGGAAAAAAACCCCCAGCCCACATTATAATTTGCAAACTTTTGTGGAATCTACAGTCATATCCTAGGGCGGAACACAATCACAGAAAAGAAAAGAAATTAGTGACAGGATTAGATCTTTTGCTTAACTAACAATCCAACTAAAATAAAAAATGACTGCCACATGACTTTCCCTCTTTTTAACACCTACTGCCATTAAATCTATTCCCTGAGGGAAAAAAACCAAAAAGGCAGAGATGACAATGGTAAGGCTCTCTTGATAAAAAAGCCAACTTTACCTGAGAAAAAGTCCTCCCAAGTGCAGATTTTTTATTTATTTTGTCTTTTACTAAGGAATTTGAATAAAACAAATAACATATCGTGAATCTCACTATACAGGTGTGCCACGTGCACAGAGCTCTTCAGTTTTATACAATCAATTTCAAACACATTCCAAAAAAGCACAGGCAAAAATATTTCTAGACGTGCTTTGATTTTTCAGGTTTCACGTAAGCAAGATTTTTGTTGCAGGCATTGAAAACCACTGTATTTAAATACAGTAAATACCATCTGCCAGCGTCTAGTATCTTCAAGTGTTTCTTTCCCTCATCTTCTCTACTTCTTTCCCCTTCTTCCTAGCCTCCTTTCTCCTTGTGGATCTCAAGCAATGATAAGTAGTGTCAGTTTGTGCTACCCTTGCATTGTGTCACCAGCTTACTTCCACAACCTTCCACAGAAATTTATTACCCAGCAACCTGCTGTGGTGGCTCAGCCACACAAGGTCACCCGTTCACACTCTCCTCCCTCCTTCACAGCACAGAGATGATCAGAGGAAGTTTCTCCCTTTGTACACCAGTCATACTGTATAAGCAGAAATCAATTGCATAGTGGGAAGAAAAAAAAAGATTCTCTGGCCCCTTTAATGAGCTTTTGGAGTTTCAACACCCCAACTGAGCTGATGAATACATACTCAACCACACCGTGAGGGTTCCTACCTTTCAAAGCAATTCCTCCAGTGGCACTGTCAAACAATTATGGCAAAGGAAGGAGAAAAACCAGAGGAACTTGAAACCTCCACTCCCTGCTTTGAAGGCAGAGTTCTTGCAGTGCACTACAACAAGCTTCAGAAGAAGCTTATGGCAGAGAGAAATCATGATGTCAAATACTTAATATGGATAGTGTGTGCTTAGGAATTTTGAGCTTCTTAACTTTTCTGAAATGAAAAAAAAGGACTCATCCTGCTTCAAAGAATACTCCTACCTCCCACAAGAGTAGATCATTTCCTTGCCTTTCACTGCACAAATCTGAGCTGCTTCAATCCCAGCACCTCCAGAAAAAGTAACTAGGAAAAAAATCTCCAAGGCAGAGCTGAACTGAAAGTCATTACATGAAAAATAATATTCAAAGGAAGAAGGGAAACACACAGAGTTTAGTGAGACTTCCACCTCAAAGTTTTGCAAGAATGAGTCATTAAAACACTTAACACTGCTCTTCTGTAGAAAGTGTTAGTAATTCCTTCAGCTAACTATTCTTGATAAGGACCATATGACCTGCTGTGGTTCCTTCCAACCTTCTCCAATCTGTGATTATGTGACAAACCATGGAAATATCTGCTTACAAGATTAACTATAAATTACCTATTTTAAAGTTCCATTCAAAGCATAATTCTTTATTGCCTCAATAGGTACAATAATTTGAAGATCTAAAGTAAGTGCATAACCTCATTCAAAGAGCTACAGAACTGTTTCCCTCCATGACAGTCTTCATCTCCTTTAATCTCTTCATTTTCTTTAATCTCTGTATCAAGGCAACATGAAGAAAAAGAACACAGAAAATTCTTACAGGAATATATGGTAAAAGTAAACTCTCAAATACAAATAAAAGCAAGACAAGTGGGCAAGCTGTGACCATCTTTCATATTATGAAAATGTGATCATATTTCAAAGAGTAGATGGCTGCATGATGAATGACTGCACTGCACAGAACACCAGGAAGGATGAGATGTCCAAGATAGGGAAAGCATTTTAAAAAAATGCAAAAAATAAGGCTAAAGACAGACTGACAGGTAGCATATTCTAGAGTCTGTGCCTGTCTGTGGAAGAATGACTTGCAATTACTTACTACCTTTTCCAGATTTTCAGACTGCACCTATTAGGGGCATTTCTTACGCATTTTTCGTAGAATGAAGCCTACAGGTAACTAAGAAAAGCAAGTCTGTATCTTCCCTAGACTACTTAAAAGCCCTCTGTGCATCACAGGGTTAAATCTCTGAATTCATTGCAAAGCTGCCTAAGAGTTTTTTAAAATACTTTCAAGTATTCCTTACATAGGCTATTCTAATGTTTCACTCCGCTGTCTAACCCGACTGGGCATTTATTTCTGGTCTCTACTTCCTTCTTCTCTGCAGGAGCTGCAAGTAATTATGAGGAAAACTTGAAGGCAGGAATTCTGCTTGCATTGATTAGGTACATGAAACTAGAGCTCAGAGGTGAATACTGCCACATGTCTCCAGGAAAATTTTTTATAACAACTTACTATTATAGAAAACATATATATCTTTCCTGTGAGAGGTAACAAAAACTAGTTCTTGGGGAGAAAAAACCCTGCAGCTGGGAAGTCGAGCAATGGCTCTCCCCCTTCTCCAAGATAAGTGGGAGGTCATTCAGGGAGCCCAGCCAGACAAAAGCATCAGCTTTCCAGTTTCAGATTCTTTTTCATGCATATGTTGCACTAACGAGGTATAATGGAGTTATGTGATTCACTCCAACACAGAGGTCCTAGTCTTCCACCTGTAGGAAAATGATGCCTGGTTTTCCGTGATTTTGTGGGTTTAAACAGAAAACCAAAATCCAGCCCCCTCTTTCCTTAGCACCATCACCATGCCTCATTCTCCATCCCCACCACCTTCCACAGCTGGTGGTAAAACCAAAGCACCGGTATCTGTGGACTTGTCTTCCCCTCCCTTAAAGCTGTCTTGCAAACAAAGTACTGGATGATGACAGGGAGGGGTTTTGGGGAATCATGCACACAAGTTTAAAAATAAAAATGAGCAAAACCCTTCTCTCTTGCCTTCAGGTCTGGTTTTGCAGATTTTTGCCCCAGTCTCCTTGGAAGACCCTATGAGCAATTCCCTCGAATAACACTCCAACTACTTACGTGTCTGCACTTTTAAGGACAGAAATCACCAACAGAGAGGAAGGAAGAAATGGTGACTTTTAATTCCCCACTCATCACAATGAGTTACTGGATGTGCTTGCAAGGAGAAAGATAAGCACAGCACAGCCCTTTCATATATTCAGGTTCCAAATAAAATTAATTTCAGAGTTTGTTTGCAGGAAATAATTTTAATGTACTCTTCTTCCACAATCATATATTCCAACACAGATAATGTGCTGCATTTGCCACAAACGACTGAGGACAGTATAGCATGTGCTGATCAAAGGAGTTAGTACAACAAACAGTGAAAGAAAACATGCTGCTTGGCAAGTTCCTATGACACTGACATTTGCTTTTTTGTATGGGCATGAAATCAGGCAGTTGCATCTCTTCCGGATGTGGTTTCTTGTTGTCCGAACCACCGCTGGCTTTTTCTACCGCGTGCAGAAGCAGCGCCACAGAGGAACTGCTT